CGTCTTCGGGAGTCGCTTCGCTTCTTCCACCCACTCGCACCTGCCACCGCGCGGATACCATGTCGAAGGCGGCTGGAGGCGCGGCGGCGGCGGCGGCGGCGGAAAGTTGTCCCCCAACCTCTGCGGGCCAGCCCGCGGCCGCCGCCGTGGAGGACCTGTCCAAAGTGTCGGACGAGGAGCTGCTGCAGTGGAGCAAGGAGGAGCTGATCCGCTGCCTGCGGCGCGCGGAGGCCGAGAAGGTGAGCGCGATGTTGGACCACAGCAACCTCATCCGCGAGGTGAACCGCCGCCTGCAGCTGCACCTCGGCGAGATCCGCGGGCTCAAGGTGAGCGCCGGGCTCGGCGGAGCGGGGAGATGGGGCAAGGCAAACTTTACCTCTCTCTATCAACAGGTGATCCTCCCCATTCTCCCTGTTAGCATCCCCTGCCTCCCTTCCCCAGCCCTTTGGAAACTTTTCCAAACTTTGGAGGCGTTTGGTTCCCTCCTCTTCCCCATATGGGGCGCACCAACGTCGAGTTCGGTGGCGGAATGAGTGGGCGCCAAGGATGCTGAAAGGCTGGGTCGGGGGCGATGGGCGCGCGGAACCTTTAATTTCCTAGGAAGCCGGGGAAAAAAAAGTGTTTTGGGGAGACGGGTTACAGCCAGGCAGGGGAAAAAGCAAGCGAAGGAGCGAGCCCAGGGAGGCTTTGCCGTTGGGGATGGGAGATACGACATGGCTGCTCTGGCGCCGCGGCTTCTCCATGGGGCAGAGGGTGAGGAAAGGGCGCCAATGCTGAAGTGAGGGGCTGGCGGGGCGCCCGGGGAGTAGTCGCGCCACCCTCAGAGCTAGGCTATTTCACACAGTGCAGAGGAGCTTACTTCTGCCTTCACGTTCAGTTTTCTGCCTCCCCCAAAGCTTTCCACCTCCCCCGAAGCTTTCCTTCTCCTTGAGTTCTGCTGGGGTCATCTGGGATTGCCGGAGCGCCCCCATTTACCCTCAATTTGATTATAATTTCATCTAGCTTGGGGGGAGGGGCAAAGGAACTCAGTGTGGGAAGCACAGGGTTTTGAAAGGGTACCCCAAGTGTCAGCCAGTGATGCTTTCCTATTGAGCCAGCCCTCCCTTCTCTGCTGTAAGGGGAAGAAAAGAACAAAAGAAAAGCAAAGCAAAGTAAAAAAAAAAAAAAAAAAAAAAAAAAGCGCGAAGCCCCCACCAACTTTCTTTTCTCCTTGGAGTGTTCTGAGTGAGCCAGCGGTTTGCTGGGCCGGCTGGGCTGCAGCACATGGGTGGCGGGGAACCGCCCTAACCGAGTGTACCACAAACTTCCTCTCCTCTCCGCTTGTGCTGGTGCCTCCTGGTATTCCTTCCTCTCATTGTTCTTCTTTTGTTTATAGGAAGCCAGACACAAACGAAATCACTGCAGGGACCTCAGGGAGCAAATTCCCGCAGGCACATGCTGTTCTTGTAGCTTTTGCACTCCCACCCCACTTCTCAGGCAGTGGACGCTTTCTTAATTGCCTCAGTGCTCCGGCTCTAGGATTCTGGGGCAAAGAGGAGCAGGAAGGGCAGAACACCACCAGATACTCACCTGGGTGCTGGGCCCAGCCCAAGTGGAAATGGCCCTCCCAAGGGCCCGACTGACTGTCATAAAGTCCCAAGTGTGGGTTCAGTTAGGGAGAACTCACAGGCAGAAAAGTCCCAAGGCTTACTCTCTCCTTTGGTTTAATTCATTACTAATGGAGTATTTATTAAGTACCAGACTCTTGGGGGATTAGAGGCAGGCCAGTGTAGTGGGAAGATCATCTCAGAGGTAGGTTAGCATCTAGAATCCTCATTTGCCAGGAGGGTGAGCTTAGGTAATTAATTTCTCAGAGCCTCATTTTACTAATCAGTAAAATGAAAATGGATAACCATCTCCTAGGGTGTTGTGACAATAAATTATGATAATGTATGGGAAGGTTGAATTCTGGACTTGACTACAAAAAATGGTAGTTACTGTTACCAGGAAACCACACATAAGTGTATGTATAGCTGTGCATCTCCCAGATTTCTTAGGCAAAGCTGGCCACAAGTATAATTTATAACCCTCCAGTTTAACCTTCTTCCATGGTTTGAACTATAATGTGACTTGAAAGAGTTTGTAATTAATTTACTAGAGATTTTTTATAGTATGGAGCATTGACACAAGAGCTTAGAAATACTTGAAAATTCTTATAGGTTGTGTGGATTGACTATGCTGGTGGGTCTATGTGAGAGTGGTGGGCGGTTGAGGGGCAGGGTCGGGGAGGACCTGGTCTTCATTCCAGTAACCTCATTTAGAGAAATACCTGTTAGCAGTTAAAAGTGGTTATACCTCAAGAGGGAGAGTCTCCTTGTGGTCTGGATTCATGCCCTGGAATGAAAAGACTTTCCAGTCCATCTCCTTACCAAGTTTGGAAATCGATGGGGGCTGGTGACATTCCAGTGCAGCCTCTGCTCCTCATCCCATCATCCTGAGGCAGTGACAGGGGTGGCCCCTGCAAGGCATCTGGCCCACCCTTTGGGGGCTGTGCTAAAGCCCTGTTAAGGGCCAGCCTTCTCCCTTATTTTCATCAGCTTGGCTCACAGCTTCCCTGGACACCAGAGTGATGCATAAGTGTGATTGACTGAATAGATGACAGTATATTTTGTATTCATTTTGGTTTAACTGGAAGGAAGAGAATTTTCATTTTGACCTCTGATGGTTTGAGACTCTAAGGGGAAGACTGTAAATTTAGGGTGATTAAAGGCATAACGCTTTTCTTATGCTTCTTTCTGGGAGCTGCCTTTGAAACTGCATCTAAATATTTCCAAGGCTACTAGGTGCTACTGTGGCTGTAGACATGGGGGGATGGGAGCATTAGTTCTGTTCCTTTGAGAGGCTGGGACTCTGTCCAAGCACTGGCTGACTTGTTTGTGTTTAAACATTTAGGAGGTAGTGCAGGGTGGGGCAGTAGGGAAATAAAGGTTTTGGAGTTTGACAAACCGTGTTGTTCAAGTGTCAGCTGTACTTCTCAGAATTCTAGCTACGGTAGAAGGGGGCGAGTATTGGCCCATTCAGTTTTATTACAGCTCCTTCTTCCTATTATTATTCTTGCAAATATTATTTACTATCCAATTTTAACCTATTTCCTTTGCCTTCTAATGAACAGCTAAGCAACCAGCTTGATAATAACCTTGTGAGCCAGCTTCTTGAAATGTGTCACTTGAAGACTTGGACTTTCTTTTTCAAAACAATAAGTGTCCTTTTAACATTGCTGCAGGCCACTAGATGTTATCCATCTGTCTAAAGTGGGCTTTCAGAAGATTAAATCCATAATTACTTGAAATTCATATCATCCCAAATTTCATACTTAAGGCTCTCAAGTAGTGTATCTGTGGTTAAAGAATTGTTTTAATTTATTTTTCCATCATTGCAGAGTGGGGACTTGGTGTGTGGGGGAGTAAGGAGGGAAATTAATGTGCTGCAGATAACAAATTTATAGAGATTTCATCGCCCCAGATCCCCTAAAATTCCAGGCCAGAGTGTTCTGAGTATTGGTATGTGCTCAGCAGTGCACAAACATGGTTCTCAGGAATCCATCCTTTTCGTCTATATTATATAATCTTCATCAAACCTCCTGTGGAATTAATATTACCATTTAGCAGATGAGAAAATGGTTTGAACTGTGCGGGTCCACTTACATAGGGATATTTTCGACAGGAAATACTGTAGTGCTACACTATCCACTGTTGGTTGAATCGTGATTGCAGATCTGGTATGTGGAGAGCTGACTATAAGTTATATGGCTTTTCAACTTCACCAAGGGTTGGCACCCCTAACTCGGCTTGTTCAAGAGTCAACTGTGTATATTTCACTCCATTTGGAAAGGGCGTTAACCCCTTGAAGCACCTGGTGGCTCAAGGCCTGTTTACTTCCCAGTTCTGGAGAAATCAGGGCTAGTTGTAGGATAGTCAAAGGAAAATATTTTCAGATGGAAATTCAGTTAGATGAAGAAGAGCACGACTTGAACTTTCTATGAAATGCCAGGATTAAGCTAAATGTGAAATCATGTTTGAAGCTGAAAAAGATTAATTTTGTTTAGTATTATTTTTGCAGAAGATATGCAGCTTCTGATTTCCCACTTTCGAGGGATAATTTCTTATCACTGTAGACGCCAACACAGCAGGGGCTTGCTGAAAACAACCATAAGAAATCTCAGCAGCTAGAGCTGTATCCTGTTTTCGCCACAGGCCTAGGGCTTAAGGGGTTGGTCAGTCCACAAACACATACTATGTATTCACTGTCTACAAGGCACTGAGTTAGGTGCGTCAAGTATGCAAAGAAAGACATTAGAATGGACTCTATGCTCCAGAAGCTAATGTATCTACATAAGAAAAGAAAAATACCGATGCCCAGTGAGTGCTCTAGCCAGGGTGTCTTACAGGCACTGAGCAGGGAGTGGGAACATTACTTCATTCACTCTCAGGCCTGGCGCTGCTGCACACCAGGAGCTGTCCTAGGGCTGGTGGAGTCTTAATGAGAGGACTCTCTCCTCTGAAGTAAGTTCATACATGGGAGAAGGTAGTATCTTCCAGTTGGAGAGGTAGACCTAATCAGGGTTCACAATTAGCTGGCACAGAGGGAGCTCAAGGTAGGAAGGCAGAAGAAGGCCTTTCAGACCTGGACAGAGGGTTGATTCATTTTCCCTGGTGAAGGGTAAGGGGTGGGGGCTGACAGGCCTCTCCCTGCAGGGTGGGTTAGGGTTAGGTTCAGAGTACCTCTGGTTCTGGATTGGGTGGCAGTCACAAGACCAGAGGCTTTCAGGCTTTGTGGAACAGGGGAAAGCTTAGGCAGCTGCCCCCTCACTGCCCCCTTTACACCCCCACCAATCTCTGGTGCTTTAAGAAACAGTTACTTTACTATAGGTGTGAATGGAGACTAAATGGGGAGTCCACTGTTAATTTTGAATTCCTTGGTTTTGGGTATCTGTAGTGGGGGTGCTGTGTTCTGGATATAAAGAGGTAAACAGGAAAGATGGGCTCTCCATTCTCATGAACGGAGTCTGGTCTGGTGAGGATGGAGACCTGACTGCTAGTCACACTCAGCCGTATGTGATTAGAAGTTGTAAGTGCAACAGAGGGGCAGTCGAAGGGGTCCTGGTTGAGCATAGAAGGGGGCCTCCTTTAGATTAGTGGTCAGTATGGCTTCTACGGGGAAGGGCCATAAAGGGAGGGAGTTGTTTTTTTGTTTTGTTTTGTTTTGTTTTGTTTTGTTTTATACTGATTTCCTGTTAATTAACTGCCTGGTCCCTAAAGACTGACGGGATGACCTTGAACAAGTGAAGCTTTGTGGGGCCCAGTTTCCTCTTCTGTAAAAGAACCATAATAATCACTATCCCCTAAATGCTTTGGTGAGAAGTAGATGAGGTAATGCAAATAAAGCGTAAAGTAACGGGCAGGGAGCATAATCAGTACCTATTCTTTTTATTTTGTCGGAGACCTACATATTTTTCGCTGCCTCTCACCTTCTCACTTCCTTCCCTAACATCACAGAGAACTCACTCATCCTGGGCTCTCTGGCTCCCAGGAAGTGTGAGCCTTTTGCCACCCCCTATGTGTACCTCCCTGGAATGGTTGCATCTTTCGTTTCAGGATATTAACCAGAAACTCCAGGAGGACAACCAAGAACTGAGGGATCTCTGTTGTTTCCTGGATGATGACCGGCAGAAGGGCAAGAGGGTGTCCCGGGAGTGGCAGAGACTCGGCCGCTACACGGCTGGGGTGATGCACAAGGAAGTGGCCTTATACCTGCAGAAACTGAAGGAGCTGGAGGTGAAGCAGGAGGAGGTGGTGAAGGAGAACATGGAGCTCAAGGAGCTCTGCGTGCTGCTGGATGAGGAGAAGGGCCCGGGCTGCGCGGGCAGCCGCTGCTCCATCGACAGCCAGGCCAGCCTGTGTCAGCTCACCGCCACCACGGCGCCCTACGTGCGGGACGTGGGCGACGGCAGCAGCACCTCCAGCACGGGCAGTACCGACAGCCCCGACCACCACAAGCACCACGCGAGCGGTGGCAGCCCCGAGCACCTGCAGAAGCCCCGGGGTGAGGGCAGCCCGGAGCACTCTAAGCACAGGAGCACCAGCCCCGAGCATCTGCAGAAACCCAGGGCCTCCGGGACCCCGGATCACCCCAAAGCACTCAAAGGACCCAGCCCCGAGCACCACAAACCCTTGTGCAAGGGCAGCCCTGAACAGCAAAGGCACCCGCATGCGGGAAGCAGCCCTGAAACGCTGCCCAAGCACGTGCTGAGCGGGAGCCCTGAGCACTTCCAGAAGCACAGGCCTGGGGGCAGCCCCGAGCACGCCAGGCACAGTGGAGGGAGCCCCGAGCATCTTCAGAAACACGCCCTCGGTGGAAGCCTGGAACATCTACCCAGGGCCAGGGGCACCAGCCCCGAGCACCTCAAACAGCATTATGGGGGAAGTCCTGACCACAAACACGCGGGCGGAGGAGGCGGCGGCGGCGGCGGCGGCGGCGGAGGCAGCAGAGAGGGCACCCTTCGAAGGCAGGCGCAAGACGATATGTCACCGCATCACCGGAATGTCTACAGTGGCATGAACGGTGGGTCAGTACGTGCTGGGGAACGGCTTTGGTTGGGGCAGCTCGGTAGAGAGTTATGAATGACCAAGGGTTTTCCGGCCGCATTAGAAAGTGCAGGTGCTGGCTTGGACGTGGATTGGGGAGAGGAGCGCACATTTGCCCCCAGATCAAGATGTGTGTTTCTCCCCCTCCATTTGTTCTGGTTTATACAGTTATCGTTCAGTTAGCCTGGGGAAGATTGGGGTGGAGGGGGCAGGGGAAGGAGAGGAACAGTAATTCCATGAGACCCTGATTAGTCAGGGTGAGATATGTGGGCACTGAGGATAAAAACAGAACGAATCTAAGATTGCTCTATCTGGAGCATTTTTGTGGTTGTGTGCGGTTTCATGCAGGGCTGTCTTGGAACAGGTGACCAGAGGTTTTAGAATCCAATTAACAGCTTCTGTGCAAGAAGAAATGGGTATTTATTATGAAAATCAGTAACATTAAAAAAGAACTAGGGTGTCCTTAAACAGACTGGATGTTGGGTTGCCGAATGCCTGCAAATATGCCTGCCTTTATCTTGAGGATGTTTTCCATTGTTTTGGGGGCCTTAGCAGGAATCCGTGACTTCCCTTTGCATCTTAAATGCATCAAATGGTTTCCTTCCCTGCTCACTCAAAACTCACCCAACCCTCTTACCAAACTCCCTTAAACATATTCTGAATAGCCTGCTCTTTTACACTGCAAGATATCTTTCTGCTTGTTTAAATGTTTCTCTTTAAAATGGACAGATGTGTTTGGATGCTCCTTTGGTTTCCAAAGTGTAACATCCACTGCATTTGCTGCGGCAGCTCTAAACTTGACTCTAAACCTTTGGAAGAGGTTTCCTTTTCTGTATCTTAGTTCTGAAACCACTTTGAACTCAGAAAAAAATTCATTTCTTAAAAAAAAAAGAATCCTCATAATTCTATGTCATCTGTGGCTGAGTTAGAATGAAAATGATTGGTTTTACAAAGTGGGTTTTCTGCATCCAGAATATCTGAGGTTTTTTCACTTTATTTGAAAGCTGCCCCAAACTCTATGTGCAGTCAGCTCTGAGCAGTGGTGGAGGCCGCCAATTTTAGCAGTGACACGAAGGGGTAAATTTTCAATATTGTACTTGGGGATTTACCTGTTGGATTCCATTTCATCCTAATCCTTTACTCATAGTGCTGAAAATTGACTCCTGAAGCTTGGCTTCTAATGCATCCAGTGTTCTTTTAAGCGCAGATGGAGCTAGAAAGAGTGGGAAAGACAGGACACTGCTGCTTTCTCCGTTGTGCGTCTTGGGAGGTGGAAACTGGGAGAAGCCAATTCACCTGTTGTGTTGAGGCCTCCTGGCAGGCTGGCCAGGGCTTTTACTTTAAGTGCACCCTCCCTCACTCTTTCCAGGAGAGGCAGAGATGCTGCCCTGATTGCTGTGAGCCACCTTGGCTGTGCAGTTCTCCAAGAGATGAAAGTCATTTACAAAGATATATTGGTTGTGTTACTATCACATAGTGTGTCACCAGCCATGAAGCTTGTCTTCAGGGGGTAATGGGTTAACAGGAGGTAAAATTAAAGACTTTTCCATTTCTTGATTACTTAATGAGCAAGAGAAGTAAACGCTTGCACTATTTTAAGGAAAGTTTGTATCTTGAACCAAAAAAAATTATTTAGGAATAGGTTCACTTACAAAATGGTCCTTTCCTTTACAAAAGGGCTCATTGAAATACCTTCTCTAAATTTAATCAATGTATGATTTAACTTGAGAGAAAGGATTTCAGGGGCAGTATTTAAGCAGTGCTGTCATAAAGTAAGGTCCATCCCTAGATAAGAATGACATTACATCATGGAATCTTATTGCCTGGGTTCAGATAAATTTCAGTCAGGCAAATGTTTTTTTAAATTCAATGGTTCCGTTTAGTCAAAAATTTGATGTAGCATGGATGTGTCATTTAGAATGACACTGTAGTTTAATTCTTGTTTACTTCCAGTTTTCTCATTCTTAAGTGACAAATCTTCTGATAGTTGATACCCTCACCAAAGTGTGTGTGTAATGCTTTTGCATTGTGCTTTTATTAGAAAATGAAGAGGCACGAGGAAATACTTATGGATCATCAGCCTATGAACTTGGGTACTGGTAGCTTGTGTTTATCCTGCTGTTACAAATTAATTTTTGATATGGATGGTAAGACATGGTTCCTTCATGTTTTTAAATCCCCACACACTTTGGTTAAATTATTGGCTTATAAGCAGAAAGGAACCAGCAGCCAGGTAAATCCCAAATTGCAGATTTGCTGAGTCATTTACGGAGTCATACTGCTGGGGGTTGGTGTGAAAGATGAGTGTTTTGGATGAGCACTTGAATGTTTCTGCATGAACAAAAAGCAGGTGAAAGTTTGGAAGAATATCTATGTTATGGCAGAATGAAATAGAGATGATACATATTGGTAGGATATTGTCCTCCTGTAAGGATATACATTCCCTCCAAAAAGACACAGATACACACTGGGGGAACATCAGTGATGTTGATTGCTGTCTTGACTGTGCCTTGAGCATCTTTTAAATCTTCTTGCGCTTTTAGTATAAACTCTCTGGACGAAGTAGTTGATAAACTTGATGTCCAGGAGCTTCCTTTGCTTGAGACATTTGGCTTAATTTCCAACTGGATCCAAAGAAGAATTTTAGGCATTTTTTCTCTCTTAAAAATACCCACACCTATATAGCCATTTTTAAATTAGTAGCTGATTAAAAAAAAAAGCAAAGACAAAACAGAAAAAAACTGTGAATTGAACAAAATGCTCATGCATGTATTTACTTTTTTAAAGAAACTATTTAAATATTTTCAATGTGTAGAGAGTTCCATTTGCAAAGAGGAAGTGGATTCAATGTCTAGTATCACATCTAGACATTAAGGCATTTGTCTGTTTATTCAAGTTACTTGCTGTATTCCAGATTTGTAAAGTAAGTTATTGAATAGCCCCTTCTCGGTATAATTGTACACAGACTGATAGCCTTAACTGTTTGAGAATGGGGGATTTATTGACATCCAAGATGGGGCTAAATTTTTTAGGTGGAAGTATACCCTTTTGCAATGCAATTCAGGGGTTTTCTTCCAGATACTAGCTGGCAGATCTTTGCTTTTTAACAGATAACTTTTTAGCTCTCATCAGAATGTCATGAAAGACTCAAGTTCTTCTAGCAGTAGCTCTGTTGTTGAACTTCTAGCCAAAGATGATTCTGATGATCAGAGGCCCTTATAGGTAGTTCACCCACTGGACAGTTTGAATCCAGATAAAGTAATAAGTTTTATTTCTAGAGGCACATATAGCTCGTTACCAGCAACTGAGAAAGACTAAATAGAAGAGACATTGCTCCTTATTATCTTCTTTCTTTTAAAAAAAAAACCTTACTAATTATCCTGTTGGATCTAATTTACTCTTCCATCTTAGTGTGTATTCCAGTGAACATGCTTCACGCCCTCCTTCAGCATCACCCTGGCCAATGAGAGCACACGTGAGAAAGTCATTCACCTGTTAGACAAGGTCCATGTTGAACTACACTTGGCTTTGCTGGATGGAGTGTCAGGGTTGTAAGTCTTCCTCCTGAAAGCTACTTCTTGCTGCTTTTCTTCTTTTTTGAGAGTATGTTTAGAGATAGAAGGAACTGGCTATTTCTCCCTCCACCTTTTTCTCTTGAACAGGATTTCTCCACAGTGGCACTGTTGGCACTTGGGACTGGGTCATTCCTTGTGAGGGGTTGTTTGTGCGTTGTAGAGGGGAAACAGCAGCATCCTGGGTTCTACCCATACACAACGCCCAGTGGTAATAATTAAAAATGTCTCCAGATGCTGCTGCCAAATGTTCCTGGGGGAGAGAGCTGGCAAAATTGCCCCTGGTTTTAAAAAAATCACTACTATAGAGCAGTGTTTTTCAATTTGGCTGCAGATTAAAATCACCAGGCTGAGTTTGAAAAAACACTGGTGCCTGGATCCCACGCTCAGATGCACGTTGAATTGGTCTGGCGCTGGGCCTGGGCACGCTGTGAAAAGAGCCCCTCAGGTGATTCCAATGAGCAGACCAGGTGGAAACCATTGGCCTAGGGGCGTGGCTGTTGGGGAAGATAGGTTGGTGTGAGTGACGCCGTTAAGCGCTCAAGCTTCCTGGGAAGAAGAAAGTGAACTTCTTTCCTTTGCTGAACTCCAGGACTGAGAAGGAGTGGCCCAGCAGGTACTGTAAAACTTCACTTCTCTCACCCCAGACTAAGGCTATCTGATCATGTACTTCTTTGGAAGTATGGGTTAAAAATCTGAGTTTTTGATGGGCAGGATTTTTAGGTTAATTTGGGGGAAACTCTGACATATGAGTAGTTCAAAACTACTTTTTAAAGCCTTCGTATCCAGATGGACAAGGAAGCAAAGGGGTTTCTAACCTGTGCACAGGGGATGCTCATGGTGCATGTAGATCACGCAGCACCTGCAATAGTCATGAGTATTTCCCACGAAAGAACACTACATTTCAGGTCTCCCAGGTTATAGGTTTTTCCCTGAATTTTAATACTGCTCCTTATTCTCTGTTGAGGTTACTAATGAGTAAACGAAAGACACTGATAACACAAAAATGGCCCATTGTCTGCTAGGGGTAAAATAACCTGTGTGTGGAAGAACCCAGCAGGGTCTTTTTCTGAAGGTTGTCTGTAAATTAAGTAGTGGTGCACTATAGCATGAGTGATTGCTCTCATAAATCTTTTATTTTGCTTAGAAAAAGTCAGACCATCACTTAATGAATTTGGATGGTAGAAATTGAATGTCTCTTGGGAGAAAAATTTCAGCAGTTACAGTTACAGAATACTATAGAACTGATTTTAAGTGAGATCCTCTGAGTGTGTTTTCTCTTGTGTGAACTGACACGTAGATGGTTAAAGAACTAGATAATAGTTTTTGATCCTCAGGCTTTAATATGGTAATTCAGTAGCCTTATATACACTTTTATAGGACATCAATTCTAAGAAGTTCTGAAAAATACAGTCGATTGTACTAGACCTGTTTGTGCAAAGTGTTCTGCATTTATCTTAAGAATACATTTTGATTTAATACATAGAATGCTTACTATTGGAAATACAGTTTAAGGTATTGTGAAGTATCTGAGAGGCAAACTATTACTGGAAGACTTTGATGGCTTAGGTAATTTCTAGGAGAATGTAAGGTTTTCAGTTGCCCTGGCAATAACAGCACAAAGCTGTCAACATTCTTTTTATCTAGGGGACCATTTTAATTTTTTTTTAAGAGATTATATCATCTGTATGTTGTATGTGTGTATATATCTTAATAACTTTAATATTGCATCTGAACGATGCCAGATACTCGGTTGATTCTGTTCAGCAAACAAAGGTTCAGATGCATTCATGTTCAGTCACATAAGTCAGTTGCTGCTTTGAAGTCAAAGAGGAGTCCCTTTCAGCGGATTATGGTTGTGCCCTTTGGACTAAATTGAAATTAATTAAATATGTGTATTTTGGGACCTATTACAACTTTTCAGAAGATATACATAGTAGAAAAAATACCATTGAACCAGGGATGCCTTTATCTTTTCTAACTGAAATAATTTAGAAAAAGCCTAACTTAAAATGAAAGCTATGGTGAGTATTCCAATTCATCAGGTAGCAAATTTTCACAAGTGTCAAATAAGTACAGACACAGTGATTTGCTGTAATGCTCTACATTTACTCAGAGTAATGATAGATTATTCTGGAGGCATCAGCCTAGGGATCATGTTGGTCAGGCTCCACTGCTCAGAAATGAGTGTGAAGCAAAATTTTGCAAAAGCTTAAAAAAAGCTTTATTTGTGTAGCACCAATGGGCCAGTGTGTGCTGAAATGTATGACTCTAGGCTCTAATATTTCTCAAATTTTGGCTACTTCTGATGTTGAGTGGCCTTAGAGACTCTGAATCTAGGTGGAGCTGGAAGTCCCTACATTAAATGGCCCCAGATAGCTGTTTTTTTTTTTCTTTTCAATATCTACTTTTAAGAGATTTTTCAGTCACATCTCGTCCTAGCAAGCTGTCAGCAGTATTCCTTACTGCCCTCAGTTGGCTTGATTTTATCTCATTTTCTCATTATTTCTAAATTCTTTCCTGCTGTTTCTAATGGCTGACCATACCTTGTGAAAAATGGATAACCACACTGATTAGAACTAGGTTTAAAATAAGAGTAAGTGGCCTTGAAGTATCCTTCTATGTGTAAGGTGCATGAGCTTTTAGTACATGGTCCATATGCCAGTATTTGGGCTGAAAAAGTTCGTTTTTGCTTATATTCTGGGTCTTGACTATATTTCAGGTACCTGTATCACAGAGATACTTCAGTTATTCCCCGCTTTTCAAAAGTTTGCTTTACGCTACTTGGTTTTTTTTTTTTTTACCAAAAACCTACCTTAGTAACCTGTTTTCGCTAATCAAAATAAATCTAAAGAGGATTTTCAATTTTACTTAAAAAAAAAAAAAAACTAAAAGCAAATAATAGCGTTCAGCGTTTGTTTCGCAGTGAACCATTGTACAGGCAGCTCGCACCCAGGGCAGCAGCAAGAGGCGCCCCATCTGGCTCCTTCCCTGAGAACCACACTCAGCATCAAGCGGCCATGGCTGTAAACTGTGAACACCTGTGCTTTATCTCGATTTACTTTGTGCATCTGTTAGCAAGATGGGTCCTAAGGTGATTGCTGCTTCACTTTACACCATTTCAGCTTACAAAAGGTTGCATACCAATGCTCTGCTTTTGGAGAGCAGGGAGCCCTGGGTAAAAACTCAGCAATATTTGCTTCTTGGGTACTTAGGAACAACCAAGTTGCCCTTACTACTAATTTAATGCTTAATATTTATGGCAAGAATTGTGCACATTGGAAGACAAATACTTATTTTAAGTTTGATTCTGAGAAGTATTAGAGAGTAGTTTCATTTTCTAAAATCAGCTGATTTTCAAGAGTTCTAGGAAATTTGAGATTCGTTATCAGGAGTAGACCATGGGACATTTGAGAATAGACATGAAATCTCAACTCTCATTTATAAGAGTCTCTAATCTGCACAAGAGTGAGGTTCAGGTTACTGCTGCTCCTGACATCAATTGCTTCCTCTTTAGAGCCACTTGAGGGTTTCCAGTAGAAAGAGTGGCTGCTCTTTCTGAGGCTTGGGATCCTGCGGCCACAGAGGCAGAAGAGGTGTTTAGAAAAGAGAAAATGGCAGAGGGTAGCAGGTTGCTTAATTGTCCTTATAAAGGCAGTTCTGGTTTGTCCTCCTTAAGATAAGACAATAACTGGGTTATTCACACACAGTGGGCCATTTACAGTTTTCATGTAACAAAGATTTAAATGTATTATAGAGCTTCTGTACTTGATCACTGTGGAAGGGCACAAAAAGTCTTGGGACTTGGTCTTGGACCGGGATTGAAATTAGGCACACATTCGATTATAGATAAATGAAAACTTCAGGAATAATTTAGTTTTCGTCTTCTCCAGAGCCTTAGTTTTTTAGGTCTTCTGTAGGCTTTTCTATGAGACAGGATATGTTAAGGAGAAAGGTTGGGTCTGTGTTTCAATTATCTGCTTCTCTTTCTCACAGGCGCCCTGTATTTAGCGTTCTTGCGCACATACTTAGTTACACATTAAATATATTGACTTTGAAGATACTGAATGCCCTTTTCATCCCCTCTTCACTTTTATTTTCCGCTACATAAAGGAAAGTAAATCCTTACATTTAAAAATCTTGCAAACAAAATATTTATAGCACCACTTTTGCCTGCTGCTATGGGTGAGAAGTAGAATGTTTTGGTTACCTTTTGATGACCAGAAATTCGATGGTCTCTGATGCTTCCTGAGTGAGTTGGCTTTTCTAGTCAGGTGTTCTCATTGTTAAACTCAAAATTTTGTCTTCTAGTCTTGATTCTAAAGGAAACTGCAAGGTCATCTCATCTTTCTTCCTGTTACTGAGGGGTCTTTAGCTTTTAGGGGACCTCCCTGACCTGGATTGTGTGCAGCTACAGCTTACCGAATGTCCATAATTGCTAGTTGGCTAAAAAATGGTAAGAAACAGCAATTGCGTTTGGGGGCATAGATGCATGTGTATGTATTGTATTTTTTTATTCAGTTAATTGAGAATGTTTATTTTAATGCTAAAAAATAGAGATTAGGACACTAACATTGTATTTAGTTCAGGAAGTCACGGAATCATAAAACTCTGAGCTGTAAAGTACTCTCCGTTTTATCCACTTCAACCATCCCATTTTCTGACTGAGAAAATTGACTTCCAGAGATGCTCAGTGAATTGCCCAAGGCAATTGCCAGTTAGTAGAGGACTAGAATCCAGCTGATGCCAGGGCACGGCATCATTCTAATAAAGAAGACACGTAATCTTCTAGACTTGAAAGGTGCCTGATGCAGGGGTGCTGTTAACAATACAGACCCTAAATGGAATAGGGAATCAGTTTTCTCCCATTCCTGTTGGAAAGTCCAGAAAACCAGAGACCTGCAGTGGTGAATGAGACAAAGTGGACATCAGTAGACTCCAGCTTAGAGAGGTAGTGGAGAAGACCTGGAGATCCAGGAGGGGAGCTCAGATCTGTTGTCTGGGAACCTCTGATTGGGATAGATGGTGCACAATTCACAGCTGGATGAACAACTACTGAAATACATCCTTAGCAGAAGGAATATTCCTGCTTCTAGCCTGAGAGCAGTGGCCCGACTACCCTTCTTCCTCCCACACAGACTCTCCCCACTCCAGGCCACATGCCTTCCAGATAAACAGTCGTGTGAAGATGGGCTGACCTTCGTCCTGTCCTCACACATCCGCTTGTCTTCACAGCCAGAATGCTCTGTGTCTGGAGAGGTGTCAGCTTCTGGACGGCGAGAAACAGAAGGAAAGAGACCGGGAGCAAGGGGATGGGCCAGATGGCAACACCAACTGCTCAAGGAGTTGTGTTTTTTAATAACTCAGCTGACTGCAAACAATAACTAATGAAGCCAGTTATTCTGATTTATGCTACCATAGGCAGAAGTACAGTACACTTGCATTACACGTTTGACGGCATTTAAAAGGTCAGAATATCTGAGTTGCAAGTTTCTGTTCTGAGCAGCCTGGTCTGTTGAACCCCTCTTGAGAATTCGAATTAACCATGCTCATTAATTCAGCATCTCTTCTGTTTCCTTAGACAGCAAGTGCCAATTCACCCATTCACCTAAGCAGAACAAGAGGACCCTGAAAGACAGGTCGTTAGTCATTTCTGCAGATGATGGCTTCCACGTGACTCACAGGAAAGCGAGGGGAGAGTCAGCTTACAGGAAGGAGAGGAGAGAGAGTGAAAAGAGCAGACAAAGGCTGTGTGAGGGGGATGCCATGAAGAACTCTGAAGGATTTGTCTCTGGCAGTGCTCCTTGTTGGTGATGGGCACCTCTCTTATGTTGATTAGCCAGGCAGGCTGCTTCATTGTGACAGGACCTGACCAGAATCGCCCTGGCTGTGGCGCCATGGGAGGAACTGACTGAATTAAGTGTACGTATGAGGGTACTTTGGAAGAGGCTATTATGATCAATTAGAGGTCTAGAAATGAACATTATCCAGGTGGTTGGCTGTGAATAGCTCCCCCAGTATAGTGACTTTCATGAGAAACCATTAGGAATCAAGCTTTTCAAAATCTGTGGAAGAACAGGCTTGAAAATTGCTTATGTTCACAGGATCCCTTTAGCATGTAAATGGAGACCAATGCTTTAGTCCTTCTTATTCTAAAACTATATGCCATTTGATTTTCACCCTTAATTTCTTTGGCTTTTTTCCTGTTGCAATTGCCCACTTTGGGTTTTATTGGCCTAGCACATAAATCTGCTTTTGATGGAAGCATTGTTCTTGCTCGACTCTATACAGCTATGTATACAATAGGTATTCATTTAAAAAAAGAGAGCTAGGCTGGTACTATTACACCTATTCACAAGGCATATTCACAAGTTATTTTTATGCATGTAGGTATCTGTGAAATTTCACCCTTATGTTAAAGTCGTATGTAGGTGACCATCCTTAAATTGGCATATGGCATCTTAAGATTTATTTATATCTTTAAAACAATGAAACAACTTTATAAACTCCTTTAGCCAAATTCTGTTTTAATTGTGAATAAAAGTATTTATTTAAAATGTATTTTAAAATAGTTAAAAGTAATTACATTTTTTTCATGAAGTTAAAGTGTGAAACACTAACTTCATGAAGGGCCTTGGAGCACACTTGCCCACCTGGAGACTTGGATATAGAATTGGCTTTGCCACTTTCAAGGTCACACTTTACTGTGTGATTTTTAGCATGCCACCGGCTTCTGTGGTCAAAATAATTTATCCCTCAAGTAAGGGGCTTGGAATAGAGTTTTTTGAAGTCAGTAGTCTCAGAATTTGGATTTCACAGATATATAAAACCTAAGAATAAGTCCGGAATTTCCAACTTTTTACTCTTGTTAGGTGTGGACTGTAAAATCATCATCATCTATTAACACTATCATTTCATAAAAGATTATTTGAGTGTTTACAAACAAAAATATGTATTTACTAAAGGGCAGTTTTTCTCCTGAACATTGTACTGATCTGTCTGTTTCTAATAAACTTTTTTTGGAATAATAACATATAACCCAGGGTTCAGATTCCACAATGCAATGCAGAGTGCATTTCTACTGTCGAGCATATTTTGATACTTTATTTTTATCCCAGCCGTCGTAGAAAATCTAGTTTCACACAGCTTGGCATGTTGAACCCGCAGTGTTAATTTCACTTAGAGTTGAGACGAACTGATGGAAACTGGGAACCACAGACCATGTACCACTTCCAGCTTCTTGCCCCTCTTCTCACAAGGACAGGGAGAAAGGGGACTCATCAACCTGGAGATCTGACCAACTTGGCCCGGGGGCTCTTCTCCCTGCTTGCCACCCACCCACTGCCTTCCTCTAGAGTGTATGCAGCTGGGCCTGGACCCCTGACAGAGCAGTGAGGATGTTATCTGAGAGGGATTCTGTGCTCAAGTGGAAAGTTGACTGTGCATGGTGTGACCTGAGAACCATGGAGCTAAATCCCCTCTGCACCGCTGTGCCTTGTTGGAAACTTACCAGGATTGCAGCAATTCATCTTGCAATGTCTGAATAGGCCCAGTCCCCTTTGACGTGGCCACAGCGATGATTGAAAACCTCATCAGTGAACAGGGAGCTAAAGAGGCTATAGTGGAGGTGACTTGGGATTGTAGAGTTCTGAAGTCTGAGGTTAGATTTCTTCCATTTGAGCAGGTCTCACATGGCAGACTACAGATGTGCTGACTAGGTGTGAAATGTGCATTCTTTGTCAAGATTCTTATTTCCTGTGTTGCTTAGTGGAACAGTGCTCTGGAAATCCAGAGTGAAGGATTTCACTTTCTGTTCCACCATAGACTAGATTTTTCTCAAGTCGCTGCTACCTCTGTACCAGGTGGGAAAGTATGGCTTATCAACTAAAGTTTGGAAGAGAGGAAGCCAGTGATAAAGCACTGTCACCAGACTCTTCTGTGCTTTTGTTATATCCCACCCAACCAGATTTTGATCACCTTTTCTAGGAACCTTTGGGCAGAAGAGACAGGCTCTCCTTTCTTTGGCACTTTTATCCTGTAACTTTACAGCTGGAGCTTGAACTCCTTTGGAGTGAGGCTCTTTAATGAAACTGGGAGGGTCCATTAACTGAAGGGAAGGGCAAAATCTATAGTGATTTCATTGTAAATCCTTGCCTTGACTCACCAGGCAGCCACGCGTTCTAAACAACGTCAGGGATAATACAGATTTATGACAACAAATTAAAGGCTAATCAGTGTGCCCTGAGATAAACAACCTAGTAAAACAAACAAATGACAGTAGGGAGAAGCATGAGTTAAAAGTAAGCCACAGGCCCTTCATCCTAGGAGTTCATGGTCTGCCCAAGGTGGGTGGTAAGTACCAGAGAGGGTGTATGAGTAAGAGCCAAATGGACAGAAGGAGCTGTTGCTGCTGTGGGCCTTGCTGGGCTTAGGAGATGGCCCACGGACTGTCCCGTCAGGCAGGAATGGCTGCTGACTGCTCAAAGGAGCCCTTTTGTGAGGCTGAGTCTGGGGAGGGGTTGGATTTGGATAGGCTGGCAGGAGGGAGGGTGAGGCTGTCTGGGAGAGATGGCGTGAAGCAGAGATGAGCACATGGTATTAAGGAACCATGAGGATGTGGGTAGGTCTGTGCTGAGGTCTGTCTTAGGCTGTGATAGATGATTTTGCAAAGCGGGTAGAGGCCAAATTACATACGGTATTCGGTGCTATCGGAGAATGTTTCCTAATAGTGACCTTAATTCTTCATAATGGGGAGGAAGGTAAAATATTTTCCAGTGTTTAGACCTTGTTATTAAACTAAGTGGACCAGGAAAGCTAGTTCCTTAGCATGAACAAAAAATCTTTTATAACTCAGTTTAATTTTAATAGTTTGTTTATTCCTTTTTTTTTAAAAAAAATTGAGGTAGTGGGGAATTGAACCCAAGACCTTGTTACATGCTAAGCATGCACTCTGCCACTTAGCTATACCCTTCCCACTAATCCTTTTCTTAAGGGTCTCTGGACTAAGAAGTTTTACAATGACTAGTGCTTGAGGGCTTTATGTGCCCAGATTTATACTGTTACTTAATCCTTTCCCATTATTTAATTTTTCTAGCAAAGGCTATGCTGAATTACTGTTCTTTAGTGGAGGGGTTTTAAAATAGGAGTCATCAGTTAAGAAAACCCATCTTCTGACTAATGCCTTCTGAGTCAGTAATAAAGATGTTACAAGCTTTGGGGAAAAATATAGCCTAGTTGCCCAGAAGGCAGAAATAACAGTGCCAAACAGAAATCAAGAAATTTCATTCTGTTTAAACAATAAAGGGAGAAAAATAATCTTGGAACCCGTTGACCTTTTGATGGGTGTAATGTAGTAAAATTAACCTAATTTAGCCTTTACATTTCATTCATTTTAATGGTTTTCCACTTTAGTATTTTGACCTAATCTAGCCCACAGTGATGTGTATTAAGTCTCAGATGGTTTTCTAACTGCTCCTTTGAGCCCTGGAGGAGGACAGGTGCAAGGGAGGAGCCAGGCTCTACCACCCGCTGCACCCAGTCACAGGTACCCTTGCACTGGGGCAGCTCCACATTTAACTGGTTTGTTTGTTCACACTTCTGCTTAAGCTTCTACTGGAACAAAGGTGACTTCTTACAAACCTTGAAAACCGAATGAGGGGGGAGTGTCTAACCCAGAGATGCCCAGAGAAGCAAACATTTGGATACACAGAGCTGGATTTCTAGACCAGTGAATAGATGGTTCCAGAAAACACCATTTCCTGATTCTTCTTGTCACCGAGTGTGTGCACTTGGTCTCAGCTGTGATGATAGGCATGTTAAGAAAACATACAGTCAGGTTAATTCACAGGCATGGGGATTATCTTTTTCAGAGGTTGACGTTGAAATTTGTGTCTTTGAAAACTTTCACCTTCAGGGTCTCCTTTGGTCTCCACCATCTGTTCTTTATTCTGTGATGCCCTCTGGGGCTGAAGGGGAACAAAACAAATTCTTCAAAGGAAACCAAGCTTTTGTTAACCTCTACCTATAGCTGCTGAGGTGCTGATCATTTTTTAATGATTTTCATAGAAGTAACAAACTTTTCCAGAGAAATTTAACTTAATGTTTATTCTTGAATCCACCAACATAGCTTTTTCCTATCTTTACTGCCCTTTTCCTTTCTTGCCTGTGGAA